CATTACACCACTATGTACACTAGCACGGGGCATGCATTCACAATATATATGGTCAGTGAATTACTATTGTCATCAAAATTATTCGAACGACATTGTTTATAACATTGGGGCAGTTGTGACTAAAGTTGTCAATGAAATCAAAACTAATGTAACGCCGAATTTAGCAATGTCGACACCATTGTTACACCCTCACTTGTTCCATGCGCCAAACATAGTTGCTAGGTTATAGCAACGTAAAATGAGCCAGTTGTCAGGTCTAGCTTATGTAAACTGTATTAATTTTTCTATATTTTGTTACATTAAACAGAAAATTTAAAAAACCTTTAATCGTAACTGTCACGGTAGAAACGTTTAATACTTTGATTGTTACATTTTATGAATAGGGTGGAATATAATAATCCAATGAACAGCAGTAGAACTCTAGTAATATAAGCCACGTAACCAGACAAAGATAGCTGTACGCGCACGACATCAACATAAATTGACGATACTTTAGTTTACTGGTGCGTTGCATAGCAACGGCTGCTTCTCCGTGGAAACTGTACTATTGCTCTGTACCTACACATAAAAACGAAATAACATCATTAGTGTTTGTGTAAGTTGCATTCTTTACCAAACATTTGTTTTGTTTCTTTACTATAGTGCGTGAACAAAGCAACATGTATGGCTGCACTGTGTGATAGTGTCTTACATAATGAAACCATCAGATTCGTCACACCTGTATCGCAATCTATCATCCTCCAAATATATTGTTTTATAATAACTGAGTGAGACCAATATATATTTGATTTGAATGTGTTAAATTTACAATTATTACTAGTTACGTTTATACAATCATTGGATAATACTGAGTTTCACATACTTGTGCAAGCCCTTAAATAACTTTACCTACAAATGTTTTCCATAATGCCAAAGTTGCAACTGGTTTAGATTGCAATACACTTACCGTAACTGATTTACGACACCGCCACTTCTTCACAGCCAGTATAATCACTGAGACACTAAATATACAACCTAATACTATAAACACGTACTGTATTATCGACGCTATCAGTGTCGATATGACAAGTTTGTTCTTGTAAATATCTACAACAGCGTCGGTGATCAGTATTTTCTGAAAGGAAAAATTTTGAACTGTTTCATGTAAGGTGATGTGCTGTGTGATTACTATAGCTCGCATGAAAAGATTGGATGGTGTTTTGAATATAATATATATAATAAAATATAAACCTATTGTGCAGACGATACTAGTATTTCTGTTTTGGCACATTTTAGATTAATAGACCATGTCTCCCTCAATCATTGCACCGAGAAAAGGAATGCAATTTACCTGTTCGAACCATAAGACAGGAAAATGCACAGTTCGAATATTTCCAGTTTGTCTGTGGTGGAAAAATATGTTTATAAATTATCAGTCTGAAAGGGTTGTAGACTTCGTGTAGCACTCGTTAACAAGCAATACATTTACACGTGTCGTATATGGTCCATATAAAACACGGCTTGAGACGATGTCTATAAGCGAAACATTTCGAAAAAATAAATAGTAAACTTACTTTATCATTTTTACCTGCCGAGCAAACACATTGAGTTGTACCCTTGCTTCAACGCGCCACGGCAATCCCATAATCTGCGGAAAAATGGTAAAAGCAGTTAATCCAATCAATTTTAAAGTTTCCACAAATCACTTCGTACACATCGACACAACACAGCCTGCGAGTGACGAATATCTATCGTATTGCATGACTTGAAGATTTTTGCACGTACTCTTTCAATATCCATGTAGTTTTGGTGATTGTCTTGGTTTGGACTGAGTCCCACAATGGCGGCTGCTAATTCGGGGTCACCTTCAAAGAAATGCGGATTCGACAAGCTCATACGTGCACCTGGGACGATATAGAAATTATAGGTAAAAACTATTTTCAAGCAGTTAGATTCAACTAATGACATCGACCAAAATGTTAATGTTACTAAACCGACTGAAACTAAACTAAACAATTTGAAATATAAATACAAATCACACACTAAACATTGCTTTTACTAATGTGGGATTGACACTCTCCAATATGAACACAAGAAAGTTACCAGGATCTGGTGGTAATTCAAATGAGATCTTTTAATATTGCAGTCACACGGTGGGTTTTATTCTAATTAGTATGGAATATAATATCATTGGTTCATACTGTAATTACAAAATGTTCTATTGGTTGAAAGTTGAAACTTGTCATTGAAACCACGCCTACCACTGAGCCCTAAGGTTGTCCCCCACAAAGTCGCATGCTGTGACGCGTATCCATGGGTGATCGAACGCAAAATCGCGTATTTTTGTCAGTAAAAACGGGTCGTCACCACATTTAACTAGGCAGGAGAACACGACCAATGTCACTCACTAGCAGACAAAAGGTTCAGTAATTCTGCAATCGAAGATGAATTTCATTAGGTAATTCAGTCTGCTCTATATAATAATGAGAGAGTATGTACTAATATATTTATTACATGTATCTGAAAGTACGCTAGCTGTCACACGCAAATCAAATGTTGCATGCCGGAATGCGTAATATTGGTATTATTACTCAAATTGGTGTGGTAATAAAACAAGTCAATTAAATTCAATATTAGGCTTGGTGATATGACAAGATTGGTAATTAACCAGTGCCCGGAGCTTGGTTTGAGCGACACTTACCTCCTCTACATGCACCAATATCTAACAGACCCGATGGCAGACATCCCCTGGTACAGAATCCTTGGTTTGGTGCGTAATCCGTCCCATTTGCATAAGTATATTGGGCTAAAGAGAAGCGCCACAACTTGACATCCATATACGATGTCTCTTCTTGATATAAGTAGGGTATCGATCTGTAAGTCCACGTAATTAAACGGGACGGTAATTCGGTTGGTTGTGGTAAGACAAAACATACAACGAACCAGTTACAAATGACCATTCAATATCAATAACAGCTTTACAAAGTACAGTATGAATAGTATAAAGCATAAATACATCCACTAATTGCTGTATACGTAAACAATTGTTGTCACTAGAACAGTTGTACGCCTCTGAACTAAGAATATTAGCAAATGTTGTAGTGTGTTTACCTGCACATATCTGGTATGAATACATTCAGTACTTCTCTTTTACAGATATATGGGTGAAACATTGAACCGTCTTGAAAATACAAGAATTGGAATAACGACAGGAGCGGATTTTAACCGTGCATGATAAACAAGTTAATACACGAATAAATAAAATAAATCGATATATATATATATATATTTTTTTTTTTTCAAATCACTCACCGGTTCCGTTAATTGTATTTGCCATTTCAGAGTTCCAGTAGTTCAACTTAGATATTCCATTCCATCTGTCGATTTTATTTAGCATCCATTTATTATTCTTGCCGGAATTGACGGTGAAGAGACCCGTGTCCGTACCATTCCTCTGTATATACACAATATAAACACTATAAATATGATCACATAGGGTTCAATATTGTATCCTGTGGTATCACAAATCATTTGTGCATATAAACTACACAGATGCACACTGTCAGACATATCGAATTAGATGATAAACAAACTATATATAGTGTACGTCGAAACATAAACCATGATCACGGAGCCGCAAGCAGAAATACTGAATAAATATTCAAAACATACATGATGCATCACGTGACAAATGTATACCAGCCAACCCTGACAGACAACTATAAAGACACTTACATCCAAGAGAAATCCAAAATGATTGCTTGGAATAATCTTCTTGCCAACGATTTTCTGCAATATTTTAAATAATGGTTCTGGATAACCCAAAATTAGTTGTCTAACTGATAGTCTGACAAATAACTCTTCTTTTTCAATTTTCAGCATCTCTTCCATTATTTCACGTACAATCCATGGTTTGCTTTCCACCATATCAGCCAATACCTGGAAAATTGAAATGTTCCAATTAATATGAGCTGTTCAGGAAGGAATCGCCATCATATTTGTTGTGGTATAAGTTCAGGTCAAAATAATTGGATACATTCCGCTTTAACAATGTACTGTAAACCGGAAATAGTGCATTGTTTTCTTGCAGACACAATTTTTCATATTTCGAGTGATATTCTGGCAAGTTGTGTGTCACGTTGAATTTACAATGACTACCGGAATATACAAACGTGAACTTTTCCAGACTTCGAAACGAGATGCTGAATTGTTCGAGTTACGGACTTCCGAGTTACGAACATCGAGTTAAAAAAACAATTAATGCTCGTAACTCGAAGTTCAGTTAACTGTTAATTGAACATCGAGTTACAATTTAAGCGTGGGTTCGCAAAAGTTGGCGTGATTTCTGAAATATCAGCGTGGTCATTTTTTTAACTCGATGTTTATATGTACTTCAATGATCTGCGGAACAGCAAAAGTTGCCATCTTTGTTTATATGAGACCAACTTAAAAGCGTATAATTATCTATACATAAGCTATAGAATAGTGTACCAAAATATAAATGAACAAATAAATAAATAAATAAATAAATAAATAAATAAATAAATAAATAAAAAAATAAATAAATAAAGAAAGAAAGAAAGAAAGAAAGAAAGAAAGAAAGAAAGAAAGAAAGAAAGAAAGAAAGAAAGAAAGAAAGAAAGAAAGAAAGAAAGAAAGAAAGAAAGAAAGAAAGAAAGAAAGAAAGAAAGAAAGAAAGAAAGAAAGAAAGAAAGAAATGGATGACGTCAGAATCGCGAGATCAGTACTAATTAAAGTGACACCTACCATGAGTGGAATATTTAATGTCGTAAACATATCATCCTCGTCCCCGACAGATAATTTCCTCTGGAATACATAGGTTTGTTTTAGTCTGTAGGAAACTGTTCCATTGGCATTTAAGCTAATATCACTTCTATTGATATATTGTCTGTAAAAACATGATTTTAGTTTAATTGTATACTATTACTGTAAATACATTATTTATTCACTGGTGTTTCGCTTTTTTTTTTGCTGTTAAGTAAAATCCGCTAAATTTTATCCAATTGCTGTGAGATCCCGCGTTATTAATGAAATCGGACGCACAAACAGGTTACGAAATGTATTTGTATAGTTCTGACCTCTAAGTATATGGCCCGATTTAATATGGTAGTACGAAATGTGTTTGTATTGTTCTGAACTATAAATATATGGCCCGATTTAATAT